TATTTCCGGCCACGATATATTATCAATACTCGAGCATCAAGTATTTAATCAAATAAATTAAATTCATTAGTCTTGCTACCACTTTTTGCCTGGGCTAAACAACTGTCTTAAGTTTATAGACAACTACTGACAGTGTGAGAAATTCCTTGCTCTCTTAAACATCATTTGGGGAAAAAAATAAGTAAAATAAATTAATTAGTAAACAAAATAATAATAAATAAAAAGGTAAAATAAATAAGTAAAATATTTAAATAAATAAGTGAATAAATAAATAAGTAAAATAAATAAATAGGTAAAATAAATTAATTAAGAGACAAAATATTAAATAAGTAAATAACTAAGTAAAATAAATAAATAAATAAATAAATAAGTAAAATAAAAAGTGAAATAAATTAATTAGTAAACAAAATAATAAATAAATAAGTAAATAAATAAGTAAAATTTAAAAATAAATAAGTGAATAAATTAATAAGTAAAATATTGAAATAAATAAATAAAATAAACTAGCAAAATAAAAAAGTAAATAAATAAATATATACAATAAATAAATAAGTAAAATAAATTATTTAAGAGACAAAATAATAAATAATTAAATAAATAAGTAAAATAAATAAATAAATAAGCAAAATTTAAAAGTAAATGTCTAAATAAATATGTAAAATAAAAAAGTAAAAGTCTGACATCTAATAGACCACTGAAAAAATAATTACGTTTGCTGTTTATTCAAACTACTTATTTAAAATGAGACATTATCTGAGTTGTTTATGGGACAACTTAATTGTTTTATGTTCACTTAAATTTGTCAACACTAATAATTTAAATTAATTACTTCATGTTGTTCTAACACAAATCAGTTGTGTGTTGTTGATATGAATATCCATATGGCAATTTATTTCCATATTTCCGGCCATGATATATTATCGATACTCTAGCGCCAAGTATTAAATCAAATAAATTAAATTCATCAGTCTTGCTACCACTTTTTGCCTGGGCTAAACAGCTGTCTTAAGTTTACAGAAATGTTTGACACAGTGCGAGAAATTCCTTGCTCTCTTAAACATCATTTGGGAAAAATTTGAAAAATCCCAGGAGGGTGAACTTAAATAATTTAGTTTTGAACTGTCTATTGTTAATTTACCTTTTACTTTTATCCAAATAATCCACACCCGACTGAAGGCTGAACAGGAATGTCAGGAAGAGCAATTTACCAACTTGTCAGATGTGTTTTTGGAGGTGAAACTCACAGATGTTTCTATGGAGGTCTAATTAACATCCAGTTCATTCAGATTCACACTCTGTGTGCTGTTTGTAAAGCTGCAATTTAATTCAGTGTGAGGAACTGAACTGAAATTGAAATGTGATTGTTAGTTTAGACAAACAAGAATCATCATGACTTTTGCTGTGAAACTGTTTATGTAACAATGTCATTATCTAAACCGGTCACTCCATTGGTCTGTTTGCCAATAAATAACCTACAAGTCAGGTTATAATCCTGTCATTTATACAGAAAAGTGGAGCAAAAGAAAATTCACGTAACTCTGTATGGAAGTGCTTTATGGAAGCTTTTCAGTGACAGCTAACTAACAAAAAATAAAAGGTAAATATAATATAATATAATAAAATATTAAATAAAGGAGAAAAATAAATAAATGAGTAAATAGCCAAATATATAAATAAATAGGTAAAATAAAAAATAACTAAATAAATAAAATAAATGAAGGAATGTCTAAATAAATAAATGAACTAAATAAATGAGTAACTAAATTAATTAAATAAGTAAATAAATAAATAAATAAATAAGTAAAATAGTCAAATAAATAAAATAAATAGGTAAAATAAAAAATAAGTAAATAAAAATAAGTAAAATGAATAAATGAAAATAACTAAGTAAATAAATACAATTAATAAATAAAAAAAATTATTTAAATCAATAAATTAAATATTTAAATAAATAAGTAAATCAACAAGTAAAAAACTCAAATAAATAAGTTTTTAAAAGTATTTTACTTATTGATTACATTTATTTATTAAAATAGTCAAATAAATAATTAAATAAATAAATAAGTAATATATATAAGCTAAATAAATGATTAATAAATAAATAAAATATATAAGTCAAATAAATAAATAAATAAATAAATAAATAAATAAATAAGTAAAATATATAATTAAGATAAATAAATTAATAAATAAGTAAAATAACGACAAACTAATGTAATTCTGTATAGAAGTGCTTTATAGAAGCTTTACAGCAACAACTAAATAAAAAATAATAAAAGGAAATCGTTAACTGAATTGTGATTTTAGACACTTTTTCTCGCAATTGCAACTGTATGTATTGTAAAATATAAATGTATTATATTTGTTTATATTTCAGAATGTTTTTTCTGTGATTTTTTAATTTTTTTATTATTATTACATGATTTCTTTATCACAAATTCTCACAAATCATTCTTTTTTTTCGGCTTAGCCCCTTTATTAATCCGGGGTCAGTCAGTCAACAGTGGCCTCTGGTGGATTTCTGTGAGAATAGCTGGCGTGAATGGCACTCGCGAGAGAAATTTGAGATCTGAAAAGGCGTAAACACCAGCCGCTGGTGGATTAGGGAAAATAAAAACTGCAAAAAAAAAAAAACGCAGCTCCTGGGATGTATTTGGCGCTGCAAATGGCACGTACAAGAGAAATTTGAGCTTATCAAAAATTGTACACAAAGGATTTATGCAAACAAAAACTGCAAGCAGACATAACTCTGGGTACGTATTTCACAGTTTCTAGAAATATAGACCTGGGTACATATCCACAATGAGCATTTCAAGCACATTGTAAAACATGTAAAATTAAGTTTTGCTCATTCTACAATACCTCAGGCAAAGTCTGTCATCACAGTGGTTCAGTATTATCATTATATTATTATTCCCTCTAGAACTGTCTTGATCATCTCTCTGCGCTCCCAAAGCTCTCCCAAGCATCTCACGCCTCACGCGTTCATTGCATTTCGTCTTTATTTTCTGAGGCACAACTCATTTATTAGAGAAGAAAAAATACCTCAGTGGCTTCTCCGAACACCCTAAACTGCATTTTTCTGTCTGATATTTGATGCCAGCTCATCAGGAAGCGACAATTTTGTTCTCTTTGACTCATTGGCTGGAAACGCTGCTTTATATGCAAATGTTTTATGCAATATTCCAGATTTGCGCAAAAATCTAATTTGCATCTTTAGATGCAAGCTTAGCTACTGAGTCAGTTAAGTGCACTTCCATCACTGTCATGGGTCAGGTCGGCCACCAAATCAGACATAAGTAGACTGTATCAGAACATCAGGGCAGCTGAGAAGATAATTGCTGTGCACCTGCCACCTACCCAACCTGCAGGACTTGTATATCTCCAAAATGAAGACCGGGCAGGTATTATCATTCACGCCTCTCTCATCCAGGACACACACACACACCATTCACACTCAATCCCTCAGGCAAACGCTACAGAACTCTATCCGATCAACATAGGCATAAAACTGTTTTTCCTCAGGCCACATCCACCTTAAATAGCAAGCACATCACTTGCTGCTTGTTTTGTTTTCTGCACATAACCAACACATTCACTGTGTTTATACTCTGTCATTTTATTATGTAGCCTACATTCATAATTGTACAAAACTGTCATCTATATATAATTAATAGTAATAATTGCATACATATCTAAATTAATAATAATCCAGCCGCAACCCATCTCTGAGAAACACACTCGTAAACTACCGACAATTTAGCCTACCCAATTCACCTGTACCACATGTGTTTGGACTGTGGGGGAAACCGGAGCACCCGGAGGAAACCCACGCGAACACAGGGAGAATATGCAAACTCCACACAGAAACACCAACTGACCTTGCTGTGACCCAAACGTGCTACCCAGTTAATCAACGGCTATTGATTACTTGTTACCTTATTTGTCGGCTTATCCTACGATTTTTTCACAGGCAGCATGCACAGCTAGCCATCTAACTTTAATTAGTGTAAACTTTATAAACTCTGAAACTTTATAAACTCAAATAAAATATACAACACATCAATATAGCGCAAAAAAACTATATTTAAAATAATACTCACTGTAAAATACCTCATCGCTTATATTCCCTCAGGTAGTTCTGCGACGTGATATGACGACGTCGTTTACGGTGGGCGTGGTTTCGTGTTGAGGCCCTCGCCCGCATGAATGTTTGTTTACTAACAGTAACGTTAGCCAAATAAAATCTGCTTAGCGCATCTTAAAAGCCGTGTTAACGATTTGTTTATCATTTTGGCATCACGTTTAATGTGTAAAGGAGGTGTTCCTGGTTGTATTTAAACTACACAGATTCTGAGGTAACTTAAAAGCTGAACTCTCATCGGTTTTCCCCATGTTTATGTTTATGTCATCACTGTAAGTAATAGTTAACAGGTACATAAAGGGTACAGTGACTATACAGTGTTTTTAATCAGATATTTTAATTATTCAGTGTGTATTTTTGTTTATAACTTGTTCCATAACGATTTCCTAATGCTCTTAAATGAGATTAATCATGTCCTCCAAACTACACTTCTAATATCTTTACATGTTTCAACAGTAAAAATGTAAATTAGGACAGAAGTCAAACTGTATTAAAAACACTGAACTGTTCTGTCATAGGAGGAGACGGAGTGTCATGTTTAAAGGGATAATACATCCAAAAATGAAAATGTTTTTCATGAGATATTTTAGATATTAAGATATTAAGAAAAATGTTGGAAACCTGTAACCATTGACTTCCATGGTGCTTGCTTTTCCGACTTTGGAAGTCAATGGTTACAGGTTTTCATCTTTTTCAAAATGTCCTCTTTTGTGTTCAACAGAATAAAAAAATCTCTTTTTTAAAATATTAAAATATGATTAATAAATGCATTGTTGTGAAATATCATTAATTGGAATATTTGATGGTCACAACAGATGTCTGAATGTTTAGTTGTTTATGCTCTTGTGTTGGTCAGAGATGGATGCGGCGCCGTTCAGCCGGAAACAGTGGGCTTCACAGTCTTTACGCATCACAGCCAAAGAGCTCTCGTTGGTTGGGACCCGCGGAAAGAGCAATGCCATCAGCGAACGCTTTTCCAAGTGAGTGACCTTCTTATTTCTTTATATTATCATTGCTTATCAGATGGCTCTGGGGAATTATTTCAATTGTACTAAAAAAAGTGTAAAAGTCATCAACATTATTGGTCATAGAAATGCTGCAATAATTAACATTCCTTTGCAATGTGTTGTGAGGGATGGAAACTTACGGGTTGATGTAGAAAAATGTGTCATCTCTGCAGTGCTTTTATTCAAACAAACAATCATTTTCACGATAAACCGAGGTCCTGACTCTCTGTGGTCATTTAAAATCCATGGCACTCCTCATAAAGAGTAAGGCTGTAACCCTGGTGTCCTGGCCAAATTCCCTCTTGGCTCTTAACCATCATGGCCTCCCAGTCATTCCCATCCACTGAATTGCCTCTATCACTGTCTCTCCACCGCACCTAGAGCTGGTGTGTGGTGAGCACACTGGCACTGTTGTCTTGTAGCTACCGTCGCATCATCCAAGTGGAGCTGCACACTACTGCGCAAAATGAGGGGTAGGGGTAAGGGCAAGGGCTAAGGTGGAGAATTATAAAATTGACCTCAATTCCATGTTATTTTTTAATTGATGAAGCTTTTAAAGAGATGAAATGTAGTTTTGGTATTTCTTTCTTCTTTTGAACGCAAATGTTGGAGAAAAGCAGCCATTGTCATCCATTGTAGAAAACAAAAAGTATCATACCATACTACTATATACTAAAATTCCATGGAAGCCAATAGCTGCTTTTTTCCATCATTCTTCAGTTTATCTTCCTTTGTGTTTAACAGAAGAAACTCAAACATGCTCATGCTTTTCTTTTTTCATTTGCTTCTTTTTTAGATATCAGAGAGCTGCTGAGGAGGCAAGTGCAGACAAGAAAAAACCTGTAAGTTTTACTGTATAGAAATACAGAGATTAAACACACTATTGATGTAAAGTGCACTGTTGAATACATGTAACCTGTTTGATTTTCCCTTTTCTATGGAAAACAATATTGTAGCTTGAGAACCCCTTTGTAACACAGTTAAAGGTCCCATGAAATTAAAATACATTTTTTAGATGTTAGCATCAGTACTGTTCGTTTTTAGGATATCTACAAGCTAGTGTGCACTAAAACAGTGACAAAATTTGCATTTAGAAGATCTAAAACTGATATAAACATGTAAAACTTGTAGTTTGTCATTTCCAGGGCCGGCGCGTCCATAGAGGCGACCTAGGCGGCTGCCTAGGGCGGCAGAATAGAGAGGGCGGCGACCTCGAAACTACCCTCGCCACCAGCGCCCTCAGTTATATCCGCGTCTAGGGCGGCAGAATAGTAAGAGCGGCATCCCCGACACTACCCTCACCACCCGTGTCCTCAGTTATATCCACGTCTAGGGCGGCAGAATAGAGAGAGCGGCGTCCCCGACACTACCCTCACCACCCGCGTCCTCAGTTATATCCGCGTCTAGGGTGGCAGAATAGAGAGGGCGGCGTCCCCGACACTACCCTCACCACCCGCGTCCTCAGTTATATCCACGTCTAGGGTGGCAGAATAGAGAGGGCGGCGTCCCCGACACTACCCTCACCACCCGCGTCCTCAGTTATATCCGCGTCTAGGGCGGCAGAATAGAGAGGACGGCGACCTCGAAGCTACCCTCGCCACCAGCGCCCTCAGTTATATTCACGTCTAGGGCGGCAGAATAGAGAGGGCGGCGTCCCCGACACTACCTTCACCACCAGCGCCCTCAGTTATATCCGCGTCTAGGGCGGCAGAATAGAGAGAGCGGCGTCCCCGACACTACCCTCACCACCCGCGCCCTCAGTTATATCCGCGTCTAGGGCAGCAAAATAGAGAGGGTGCCCCCCTTCCACCCCCGTTTATGGTTGAGGGCGGCATGACCGTCCTTTGCCTAGAGCCGCACTTCAGCTTGCTCCGGCCCTGGTCATTTCTGCCTGAATGAATCAACGGTTTTACTCACGTCACATCAAACTTCAGTTTCTCACCAAATCTTGACCAATCAAATGCTTTCTAGTATCGGACATGCCCCGCCCCCTTCTTCAAATTTGCTTTTCATTTGATTGAACCACTCTCGCTGGTGAAGCTGTGATAGAACAAAACAATATTGGCTATTTTTTTTAAATGGGAGGAGCTTCAATATGCCCCACCCTCTCTTCAAGTTCTAAATGAGATTACGTCAAACATCGAATAAACATGCGCATTTCAAAGCACTTCATGTGACCTTTAAAAACTCACTCATTCAAGAAGGCGGGAAACTAGCGAACAATCCATAATTGTAATAATAAAAATTAATGAATGGCGGCAGACCCTCATGGACAGCTGAAACGAGAAGGACACTGAAAACAAAACATCACTTCCACATTTATACTTCTGCACCTCCTGCGGGGACTCGAGACAGGTGGTGCACAGGTGACGCTCATCAGCGATCGTATCTCCGGCCTCATTTCGTTTCCACGTAACACCAATATAATATACATTATATTTTATTATTACACTGATCTCTGGACATCTTGATTTTGATTGGTCCGTCACGACATTCCCAAGTTATTCTCAGATAAAAACCGCTGAAACTAAAATAACACAGGTTCATTCAAGTGCTGCAAAATCATCTTGACCATTTTTTTTATTTTTTTATTTTATTTTTTTTTTTTTATTTAATTTTTTATTTTTAAATTAGACTTATGACGGATTTTGTGGTGCAAGGTCACAAAAAGTAAGCAACTTTTAAAATCAGAGCTAAGCTAAAGAAACCGTCTGCTCTGCAACATTTTCGTGGGTGAAATCCAGCCATTCCAATACAAATTTGTGTGGAAGTTTCACGTGAGGGCGGATAAGTTGACTTGCTGACTCTGAGATGACCGACAGAAGAGCTGCAGGGTTTAAAAGTGACTTCTGTGTGAGCTGCTCTGTATTCAACACTATTGACAATGAACAATGAGCCCTTTTCAATACAAAAAACACACTCAAATGACCAGACTTTGAAACATTTCAGACGAAAAATAAAACATTCTACAAATAACACTCAGTCGCACTGTATTTTAAGGTGGAATTCTAAATATTAATAAACCATTAACTGACTTTAAGCTTAATAAATTCCTAATTTGCTGCTTACTAATAGTTATTAATGTAGTAATTAGGTATTAAGTGCTAAAAACAGCCATTGTCTTCATCAGTGTTGGGTGTAATTTGTTACAAAGTCACTAGTTACTGTGGGCGAAGCAGTGGGTAGTGCTGTCGCCTCACAGCAAGAAGGTCGCTGGTTCGAACTTCAGCTCAGTTGGCGTTTCTGTGTGGTGTTTTCTTGTTCTCCCTGCCTTCGCGTGGGTTTCCTCCGGGTGCTCTGGTTTCCCCCACAGTTACAAAGACATGTGGTACAGGTGAATTGGGTAGGCTAAATTGTCCGTAGTGTATGAGTGAATGTGTGTGTGTGGATGTTTCCCAGAGATGGGTTGCAGCTGGAAGGGCATCCGCTGCGTAAAAAATTGTCAGATAAGTTGTTGGTTCATTCCGCTGTGGTGACCCCGGATTAATAAAGGGACTAAGCCGACAAGAAAATGAATGAATGAATGAATGAATGAATAGTTACTGAAATGAAAGTACTTTTTTTGCTTAAACACCATACGTAAATTCAACATTTCTGTATAAATCAATTCAGTTGTCAATCAATTGTATTTTTCAACTAAAGAAGATTACATTTATCAAGACGATTGCATAAGCTTAAGCAAAATGAATCAATAAATTAATTAATGACAATATAAGATGCTTCACTTATATATTTTTCTATTCAGATGTTTCAGATGCATACTAATTCGTTTTTTCAAACTAAAGAACAATAGATTTCTCTGACAATCGTCCATAAAAATTATTCTCAATATACTTATGAATATGCATTACTTTGAAATCTGTTGCTTTTTAATTTCAACTTTATTTTTTTTAACAAAATTAAAATGTCACGTTTGACTTCAATTTAGAAAGATTGGGAATTTAATTTCTAATGTGTTGGGATTTATGTGGGTTTTTAGTACTGAGTCGAGTAATTAAAGTACTCATTGAGTAATTAAGTTACTTTTCAGACAAAGTAGTAATTAATTTATTCATTTTCCTTTGGCTTAGTCCCTTTATTCATCAGAGGTCTTACTTATTCAGCATATGTTTTACACAGCGGATGCACTTCCAGCTGCAAACCAGTACTGGAAAACATCCATACACTCTCATTCACACTTATACACTACATCCAATTTACTTTATTTAATCCACCTATAGCGCATGTGTTCAGACTGTAGAGAAAACTGGAGCACCCGGAGGAAACCCACGCCAAGACGGGGAGAACATGCAAACTCCACACAGAAATGCCAACTGACCCTGGGGCTCAAACCAGCAACCTTTTTGTTATGAGGCGACAGTGCTAACCACTGAGCTATTTCTGTCTGAGCCTAGTAAATAGGAAGTAAATTACCCTACACTGGTTTAAATAATAGCCAGGTAATAAGCCACTAGTTAACAGTGAGAATATTTACAGTATTAACGTTACCAAATGAACATTTTGTCCTAACCTCACCAGAACGCAGCAGTGAAAGGGTTAAATTTCATCACACGCATCATTTCCTGTCTGCAGGTTTCACTGCAGGCGGCTTTTAATCATCTGGCTCCCGTCCCCTGTTTGCTCTATCCTCTCTCTGCTTCCTCCTGTGGGCTGGACTGTAGTTTTCACAAGTTTTCTGCTCGAGTTTTAGCACTGATGTCCAGCGGCTCCGAGAAAAACTCCAGCAGGTCTTTCCTTCTCCTGGTGTCTGGTTTCTGCATGCTTCTTTCACAAACACTCTTGCATGAATGCGGTCTCTGTCTTGATTTGGAGTAGAGTTGTGCCAAACAGCTATTCTTTGTCTCTTTTTGACTATTTTAAATTGACGTTTGGCGATGGCAGAGATTTAATGAGCAAAAAACCAAGCACAAAACAAAACTGTGATTCATGTATTCCTGTAGTGAGGTAGTGAAGTAAGAGCCGGGATTGTTGGTTGGTTTGAAGAAATGGTAGTGATTTGGGGGCATTGTGTCATTAATGATTGGTGTTTTAGTAACCGTGTTGATGCTTTTAACAGCTGTTCGGAGTTTTCCTCTCGTGTCTCGTCATGTTCAAACATCTGCCTGCTGCACTGGGGTTTAGTCAGCTTTGACCACACAGAATGATACACTAAAATAAGCTGAAAACGCATGTGCATTTTAGTATTGAGTTAAGTAATGAAATGACGTATTGAGTAACTAAGTTACTTTTCAGACAACGTAATTCGAAGAGTAAATTGAATGCAATTTTAATGATGTAATTAATACAGATTTTGACAGATTTGTTTATAATATATTTATGCTTGTAAATGTGTGTACATTTATTTATTTATTAGTTATATTAATTTTAGTAATAGTATGTTAATGATGAGTACAGACTTTCACATATTTATTTTTATAATATATTTATTATTTATTTATTTATGTAAATGTGTGTAAATATATTCAATTGTTATATTAATTTTAAAAATATTATAGTTATGATGATAGTAATCAGTACAGATTTCCACATATTTATTTTTATTATTTTTTTATTATTTATATAAATGTATGTAAATATATTTATTCCTTTTTTATATTAATTACAGTAATATTATTAAATAATATGTAATAAATTACTTATTAAGTGACCAAGTTACTTTTGTTCAGACAATGTAATTAGAAAAGTAATTTAAATGCAATTTTAAAGATGTAATTAATGAAGGGACAAAGCCAAAAAGAAAAGGAAAATTTCCACAGATTTATTTTTATGATACATTATTAATTATTATTTGTGTATTTATTTATTTATTTATTTATTTATTTATTTATTTGTGTAAATGTGTGTAAATATTTATTTGTTCTATTAATTTTAGTAACTTTATCCTAATGATGATAGTAATTAGTACAGAGTTCTGCATATTAATTTTTAAAATATATGTATTATTTATTTATTTATTTATTTATTTATTTATTTATTTATTTGTTTGTTTAATTAAATGTTTGTAAATATATTTATTCCATTGTTATATTATTTTCAGTAATGTTATAGCAATGATGATAGTAATTAGTACAGGACTCCTCAGATTTATTTTTATAATTATTATATTTCATTATGTATATAAATGTGCAAATATATTTATTCAGTTTATATATTAATTAATTCATTCATTTATGTAAATGTGTGTAAATATATTTATTCAGTTGTTATATAAATTTCAGTGATATTATAGTAATGATGATAGTAATTATTACAGATTTCCGCAGATTTATAATATAATATAATATAATATAATAATATAATATAATATAATATAATATAATATAATATTTATTTATTTATTTATTTATTTATTTATTTATTTAAATGTATGTATGTAAATATATTTATTCCGTTTTTACATTAATCTCAGTATTATTATTGAATAATATGCAAATAATTTCTTTTTGTGTCTCTTCATGTCCTGCGGCCCTGGGGTTTAGTCAACTTTGACCACACAGAATGAAAATAAACTAAAAGTTAACCTTCAGCTCTTTTGTCTATATTGTAGACTAAATATTTGAGCAGACAAAATATAAAGGGTTCAGTGTCATAGTAGAATTATTCATGTATTATAGATTGTACTTATTATTTTGCATTAGCCTTTAGTGTTGTATTTTAGCTGCATTTGTAACGTTTAACATGATGTGCTTTTTTGTTTGTACATTCTAAAAAAAAATATTTTTTAACTCAAATTTGGGTAAAATATGCGCAAATCCAACCATTGGTTTACATTTTTAAACCAACTTTTAACCAGTTTTTGGATTCGTCTAGTTTTCCCAAACATTTTAAGTGCATGTTATTTTATTAAAAAATATTTAAAATGGCAGACATAAATTAGGCTGTTATTTTGTGCTACCTTGGGGAAAATGGTTACTATCTCAAACCATCTTTACTATCTTAAAATGGTAATATGTTTTGAGACAATAAGGTTATCTAAGGTTAAGGTAATCTACTAAATATCTAAGTAACTTCATTTAGTTGACATTAAATGGTCCATGGTTATGTCTTTTAGACAGATGAAAATTACACAGTAATATTGTCCTGATATAAGTCCCCATAAGGTTACATTATAGTTGCCATTAGCTAATGCATTAAAGGGTTATTTCACCCAAAATTAAAAATTCTGTTAATAATTAGCCTCATATAATTTCAATCCACCGAAACCTTCATTCATCTTTAACATCTTAACAGGACTTCAATATTACATTTGGTTTAAATATATATATATATAGAGAGAGAGTATAGTATTAATATGTAGTTCAAGTTCAGGTTACTCAAAACATTTGTGTAACTGTATTGTTCCAAAATATCTGTGTATTTCTTTTTAAATAGTAAAACTTAAGTCCCAAAAAATAGCACTAATTTATGTCTCCCTATAATAATATTGTGTATAAACTGTACACTGTAAAACCCAAAATGTTAACTCAAACCGTTTAAGGAAACTGATTGCAACAAACCATTTGAGTTAAAAAAAAGAACTAAACTAAACTATATGAGTACTGTGAACTTACTCCACTGAAGTTGAAGTAATGAGGTATTTAATTAAATCATTACCTTTAACACTGAGTTCAAAACTCTTTTCAAATAAGTAGACTTAACTTGCAGTCAATTTTGAGTTAACTACACTCACTTCATTTGATAGTTTACTGTTGGATTTTACAGTGTATATATATTATATATTACATTGCATCAAGTAAAGTTAACTATTATGTAACTTAATTGGGTCTTTTAATATTAGGGAACATCAATGCTCCCTAATGAGTATTTAAAATGGCAGATTCACTAATCAGTGCCCTGACTACCAGACTAGGGAGCAGAATGAGACACGCCCCCAGAACTTGAGGACTCTTAGGCGTGGGCTCCACAGATGTTGCGGTTGTGTTTTTATTGAATGTCTGTAATTAATCTCTCCATGAAATAATCTCTGTCTTTCTTTCTCAGCCTGTTGACAGTTTGCCTCTGTCGGTGCGTTCGGGGAACCTGAGTGTGCTGAGGAAACGCTGGGAACAGGAGAAACCCCCAGCGCACCTGAGCGTGGCACCTGGAAGTCTGAGGGCTCCGTCTGTGTCCAGTAAACCCAATGGTCCTACACAACCACCTGCTTTATCAGCCAAACCCAGCGTTCCTCCACAACCAACATCCAGCAAACCCAGCAGTCTTTCAAAACCTTCCACTTCATCCAGCAGTCCTCCAGAAACATTAACATCATCCATTAAACCCAACAGTCCTCCACAACCTCTCAGTTTATCCAGCAAGCCCATTGATTCTTCAAAACCTCCTACTTCATCTATCAAACCCATTGATTCTCCAGAACTTTCTACTTCGTCCAAGAAACCCATTGATTCTCCAGAACATCCTACTTCATCCAAGAAACCCATTGATTCTCCAGAACTTTCTACTTCATCCAAGAAACCCATTGATTCTCCAGAACTAACTTCATCGAAGCAACCCGTTGATTCTCCAAAACCTCCAACTTCATCCAGAAGTCCTCCAGAAACATTAACTTCATCCAGCAAACCCTTTGATTCTTCAAAACCTCCTACTTCATCTATCAAACCCATTGATTCTCCAGAACCTACTTCATCCAAGAAACCCATTGATTCTTCAAAACCTCCTACTTCATCCACAAAACCCATTGATTCTCCAGAACTTCCTACTTTATCCAAGAAACCCATTGATTCTCCAAAACCTCCTACTTCATCCAGCACTCCTCCAGAAATATTAACTTCATCCAGCAAACCCATTGAATCTCCTGAACTTACTTTATCCAAGAAACCCATTGATTCTCCAAAACCTCCTACTTCATCCAGCACTCCTCCAGAAATATTAACTTCATCCAGCAAACCCATTGAATCTCCTGAACTTACTTTATCCAAGAAACCCATTGATTCTCCAAAACCTTCAACTTCATCCAGAAGTCCTCCAGAAACATTAACTTCATCCAGCAAACCCATTGATTCTTCAAAACCTCCTACCTCATCCACCAAACCCATCGATTCTCCAGAACTTCCTACTTTATCCAAGAAACCCCTTGATTCTCCAAAACCACCTACTTCATCCACCAAACCCAGCAGTCTTTCAGAACATCCTTTTTCATCCAGCAATCCTCCAGAACCTTCATCTTCATCCACCAAACCCAAGAATCCTCCACAAGCACCGTCTCCCACCAAACCCATGCCACAGGCCAGCGTGAGCGTGGAGGCGACGGCTCACGAGAGACCAGAAAACACAAGGGTGGAAATGGAGACTAAACACAAGAGGCAGGTAGAAGAGAGGAAAGACATGGAGAGTTCATCAGAGCCGATGTCTCCTCTGGAGAAACCAGCCGTGCCGCTCAACAACCTCAAGATGATGTTTGAAAAGGGCAACAGCAAGGTGAGAAACGCAAAGTGGCGCAAATAGATGTGCTATTTAAAACACATGGTGAAAGCATGAAAATAAGGGTTGCGCTAGTCTGAAAATAGCAACGAATCGCAGCATGCAAGTCTTGTGCTTTATTGCGGCGGGTGTACAACAGGGTCCTAGAAGGGGTTGAGAAGCTCAAAACGTTCTACATTTACATGTTTAGTGTTCTTAATTTGTGATCAAATCGACAAAAACACAAACACGGCCCATGTTTCATGGTGTTTTTAATACATCAGTGATTCTAATATGGTTGTTATGAACAGACGCAGTGGGTAGCATGTTCGCCTCACAACAAGAAGGTTGTTAGTTCGAGCCTCGGCTGGGTCAGTTCTCATTTCTGTGTGGAGTTTGCATGTTCTCCCCGTGTTGGCGTAGGTTTCTTCCGAGTGCTCCGGTTTCCCCCACAGTCTAAACACATCCCCTAAGGGTGAATTGAATACACTTAATTGGCTGTAGTCTATAAGTGTGTGTGTGAATTGTGAGAGTGTATGGGTGTTTGCCAGTACTGGGTTTGCGGCTGAAAGGGCATCCACTGTGTAAAGCATATGCTGGAATAGTTGGCAGTTTAATCTGTTGTGGCAACCCTTGATAAATAAGTCGAAGGAAAATCTATGAATGAATGAATATTACATAATGTATGTTTTGCTAATAATATCACATGATCATATCGTCATATTTTCATGGGGTTTTAGAAACCTACTTTCTACATTATAAAGAACTTTTTTTTTATAGTGAGGTTGTTGCTAACTATGAACAGAACATTAGTAGAAAGGCAGGCTTTTGCTTCATGATTATATGTGTGAATGTATTGAATTTGCTGAGGTAGCTGCTGCAGTCTACACAGCTCCAGCGCTGATTAAATATTTAAGGCATCCAGGATGATATGCTCACTGGTTTATGCATATCTGACCAGCTATTTCACATCCAGTTTCATTCTTTAGCTCCTGTGTAAATCCCCAGACTTACCTTCAAAAGTACTAAAACTTCCAGCTGATAAGATCACCAGAAAAGCAAGTGCATAACTCAAATAACTCTTAATTAATCTGCACTGAATCGAATGTCTTTTCTGTATTCATGAAAACACATAGATGCATGATTGCTAGGATGCACTAATAGAGTCCCTTGGAGTTCTCAAAGTAAAAATGTATTTTCTACATAAGGAAACCGATTAATATACATTTATATACTGCATACCTTTAAATAACTCTGTAAAAAAATAGTGAGAGAACGGGAAATGTGGGACTGATTTCAGTTGCAGCTTTAGTGTCTGTTTATAGTTCAGGGGTGGAAAACTTTACATTCTAGAGAGCATTTAATCGGACAGAAAAGCTGATGGAAAGTGCAGAGTAATGTCCATATTGGCGCAAGTGAGAGACGTTTTGAATACGTATGCTTTTAAATAGACTGTTCTCTCTTGAATCAGTTCTGAGCGTAGTGTTTAAAAGCAGACCGCGCTCTTGGCTATAGTTTTTAAACAGCACCATCTGCTGTTAAACATTAGCCTAGAGCACTGTCTGCTGTTAATAACTAGTCTAGAGCGCCATCTGTTGTTAAAAACTAGCATAGAGCACCGTCTGTTGTTAAAAACTAGCCTAGAGCACTGTGTGCTGTTAAAAACTAGCCTAGAGCATCATCTGCTGTTAAACACTAGCCTAGAGCGCTGTGTGCTGTTACAAACTAGCATAGAATGCCATTTCCTGTTAAAAACTAGCCTAAAGCACTGTCTGCTGTTTAAAAGCAAGTCTAGAGCACCATCTGCTGGTAAACACTAGCCTAGAGCACCATCTGCTGGTAAACACTAGCATAGAGCGCCGTCTGTTGTTAAAAACTAGCCTAGAGCACTGTATGCTGTTAAACACTAGCATAGAGCGCCATCTGCTGTTAAACACAAGCCTAGAGCGCCATCTGCTGTTAACACCAGCCTAGAGCGCTATCTGCTGTTAAACATTACCCTAGAGCACCATCTGCTGGTAAACAATAGCCTAGAGCGCCGTTTGCTGTTAAACACTAACCTAGAGCACCATCTGCTGTTAACACCAGCCTAGAGCATCATCTGCTGTTATACACTAGCCTAGAGCGCTGTGTGCTGTTACACACTAGCATAGAGTGCCATTTCCTGTTAAAAACTAGCCTAAAGCACCAACTAAAAACTAGCCTAGAGCACTGTCTGCTGTTTAAAAGCTAGTCTAAAGCGCCATCTGCTGGTAAACAATCGCCTAGAGCACCATCTGCTGGTAAACACTAGCCTAGAGCGCTGTCTGTTGTTAAAAACTAGCCTAGAGCATTGTATGCTGTTAAACACTAGCATAGAGCACCATCTGCTGTTAAACACAAGCCTAGTGCGCCATCTGCTGTTAACACCAGCCTAGAGCACCATCTGCTGTTAAACACAAGCCTAGAGCACAATCTGCTGTTAAACACCAGCCTAGAGCACCATCTGCTGGTAAACACTAGCCTAGAGCGCCGTTTGCTGTTAAACACTAGCCTAGAGTGCCATCTGCTGGTAAACACTAGCCTAGAGCACTGTCTGCTGTTAAAAACTAGCCTAGAGCTTTGTTTGCTGTTAAAACTAGCCTAGAGCAGCATCTGCTGATAAACACTAACCTAGAGCACCGTCTGCTTTTAAAAACCAGCCTAGAGTGTTGTCTGCCTAAAGGGGTGCATTTTGATTTTCTCAGAATGAATGCAGAATCGATTTCTTTAACAATTTTTAGCCACTGCTCTACTTTGAATTATTTAGTCATTGTTTAGAGCAGGGTTGGCCACCCCTGGTTTAGAGCATACTACAGTATAAATAATCATAATGCTTACCTTATAAAAGCCTAAATTAAAAACCTTCAGTCTTGATTTCCCAGTGATTTTAAATCAGATTAAATCAGAAGTAGGTTTGTGGTTCTGGCAAATATTTCAGTTTAGAGGTCATCATATCATCAACTGTTTTGCGTTTAACAGATAAGATATGTGTCTGCTGGATAAATCACTTTCAGTGCTTCACCTCATCTGACTGTCTTCCCCTCCCCCGGTGTCATAAGCAGAGGCTCAACATTTGCTCACATTCCTTTATGATCCCTTAAACTCTTCAGGAATGTCTCGATCCATCTTAATGTTGGGATGACAGCCTGCATCCCGAAACACACACTCAGTCTAACACTGCCTTCACAAAAATCTGCAGTTACAGTTGTAGCAATTAGAAGTTTGCTTTAAAATCATCTTTTAACTGATAGATTAATTTTAATTAATTCATTCATTTATTTATTCATTTATTTATTTATTTTATATTTATTTTTATTATTATTTTATATAGTTATTCTCTTATTTATTTTTTGATTTTATTTTATTTATATTATTTTTTATTTTAGTTTTTATTATTGTTATTATTTATCTTATTATTATTATTTTATTTATTAGATGTTTATATTTAATTATTTCATTTATCATGAATAAATAATAATATTTATTTTAATTAATTATTAATTAAAATAATTTTAATTTATTTTAGGCACTTGATCCCTCAAATGGTTATTTTAAGAGTCTATATTTATTTATTTATTATTTATTTATTTGTTATTGTATTTATTATTATTATTATTATTATTATTTTAATAATTATCTTATTTGTTTATTTTATTTATTTATTTATTATTTTTATTTATTACTAATATTATAATTGCCATTTTTATTATGTTTGTTATTATTATTATTATTATTATTTTATTTATTGTCTTATTTGTTTATTTTATTTATTTATTATTTTTATTTATTAGTATTATCATTACTACTACTATTTTTATTATTTTATTTTTTATTTATTTGTATTTATTATTTTATTTATATTTAATTTAATAAAAAATTAAATTAAATATAAAAATAAAAAACATTCTTATTATTAAATTTATAATTTATTTTATTTTTGTTTATTACTAATATTATTTTTATTATTTTATTTATTTATTTATTAACTAATTTATTTGTATTTATTATTTTATTTATTTATTTTGTATCTATTTATTGGATTATTATTATTTATTTAAATTTTTTTATCATTATTATTATTTATTTATTTTATTGCATGTTTATGTTTTATAAACTTTTTTATTATTATTTATTTAATTTAATTTTTATTTATTTATTTTATTTTTAGCTACTTTTTCTTCTAAATGCTGATCATAACAGTCTAAAGGTTTTTTTGAGCAGGTTTTATTATTTTATAAATAAAAATAACTGTGCAGATCTTCACAAAAAAGACAAATAAATAAATAAAAATAATAGCTTTGCTGAATGCCTTTATAAAATTTTCCCAGGGCACTTATTATGCAAAATTAGCTTTTTTCCACCCACTTCTTTCTTTATTATTTCCATTAATCATTAAAAACAGGAAACAGAAAGACATAGTATTAATGTTATCTAAGTTATGGTTATTAGATAGCAAATTTTTTTACATCATCTTTGGCCAAAAAATACGAAATAACTAAGTTCCAGATTGCCCCGTGTGACATCACAAGCTCCACCCACAACTGATGACCTTCATTAGCATAAACCGCATTCAAAATTGCATTCTATTCAAAGTAATGTTATTCAGTCAGCAGCGGTGAGTGATTTTCTAATGTAGTTCACAGGTCTAGCTCTCAGTCCAGACAGCAGTAGATGCTGTAAATTACACCGCCGTCATTTTTTATTACACAGATGTACTATAAATATGTGATTTCTTTCACAGCTGCTTACATTAGCACACACAGCGGACTGTGTTCATGTGACCTTTGCATGCTTTTGTTATAACCTTGTATGTTTATCAATGCATGCAAAAAAAAAAAAGTGCTTAAATGTCATTGGCTTTTCTCTGTGTACGCTTCAGATGTGTATGCAGTTGGAAATCTAAATATTGTGAGTTTAATCTGATGTGGCTTAGTATCAGTATTGTTAGTTTTTAGGATATCTATCTAAGCTGGTGTGCTCCAGAACAGTGACAAAAT